CGTGCGAAGCGTGCACGGCACGCGACGATCACTGAGCGCGACGGGGGACGCCACGGCTGTCGACACGCAGACGCAGGCCACGCTAGGATGCCTGAGATTCGACCGGAGCACGTCTTCGGCACATCGCAAGCCGGGGCGTGAGCGCGTGAGTAAAGGTGAGTTCGGGGGCGCCGGCAGCGGGAATTCGTTCTGCTTAGACTGTTGCGAGGGTAATGATGCCGAGATAGACAGCGACCCGCATCTACGTCATCCACGTACGTGTATATATCCGGTTATCGAAGCAAAGCAGAATCAAATTGCCAGCGAAAGTCTATGCCAAGAGGTAACATGCTAGCTGTCGGCTGAACTGGAGCCGTGTGCTTCGCTACACGCTCGGCACGCGTGCCAATCCTAAGCGGCCGAATCTGAGTGCACTCTGGCAGTGCTGCATAACTCATGCGGTGCAACATAAATGGCGACCATTTCTCCTCCGACGAGTGAGGCGATATATTGCCTGAGCGGCGTCTTAATAGATTGGCGAATAAAGTTAGTAGGCAGTGAGAAATGTTGAAAGTATAGTTTAGTACGTAATATTGCTGAAATATACTTTTAGATAGGTAATGTGTGCGTTGCGAGTGTGTTGTGCGGTGCAGGTCCATAAAGTGCCGCTGATTGAGGGGTCTATGTCATTACTGCTACGCCGGAACGTACCTGGGTAGGTATAGCGACGTCTGGTAACGTTATCTGAATATGGTTCAGGGTAGTTTAGGGTGTAGAGTAGCTAAGGCGACTCCTAGAACTCGTTATAGGAGTAAGGCGAGTACGGTCCGGCATAATAATAGTAACAGGTACGTTCCGGTATACCGACCGTACCCGCAGGGTAGTTGTCAGGTGTCGCGGCGAAATTGTGCTTGACTTGCGAATATATCTGAGATAGGAAGCTATGTGCATGCGCACTTCGCATCGCGTCCCGACCCGAACATTCACAGCTGCGTCTTTGTGTCGCGAAATTTTGACATATATGATAATAGGAATGCGTATGCGGATGCGCACTCTCCATATATGCTAAATATGGCGATTCCCTTCAGCTAAACACCAGGCGGTGGAGAAAGAGGAAGGGGGAGAACGTGGAGAAGCTGGTGGAGACAGGACGGAGGGGAGAAGCTGTGTGGAGAAGGGAAGGGGAAAGAGATAGCTGTGAGAAAGGAGGGAGGGGAGAAGCTGTTGAGGGAGGAGAGGAAGAAAGCGTGGAGAAGGAGGAGGGGAGGAGGGGATAGCTGTGGAGAAGGAGGAAGGGGAAAAGAGAGAACTGTGGGAGTGAGGAAGGGGACAGTAGAAGTGGTGGGAGGGAGAGGAGAGGGAAAAGCTGGTGAGAAAGGAGAAATGGGAGAAGGAGAGCTGGTGATGGAGAAGGGGAAGTAGAAGGTGAGAGAGGAGGAGGGGGAAAACTGGTTGAGGAAGGAGTAAGGGAGAAAGGAGGGGAAATGAGGAAGGAAATGGGTAGAAATCTGGTGAGTAAGGAATGGAGAAGGAACTGCAATCCAGCCTCCCCCTGTCATCAATGAAATGCCGCCGCCAGCACGTTCTCCTTGTCTCCCTTCTTCCTTCTCCACACAGCTTTCCCTCCTCCTCTCTTCTCCATCAACTCTGCCCCTCTCCTTCTCCACACCTTTCTCCTTCTTCCTCCTCTTCCACCAGCTCTCCTCTGCCCTCTCCTCATTCTCCACCCAGCTCTTCCGCCTCTCCTTTCCCACACAAGTACTCTTTTCTCCCCTTCTCTCCTTCTCCACAGCTCTCTCCCTCCTCCTTCTCACTAGCTTCTCCTTCTCCTCCTCTCCTTCCAGCACTCTCCCGCTTCTCCCTCTCTCCTCACCAAGCTTTCCTTCTCCCGCATACTTCCTCACCCGTCCTCCTTCTCGCACAGCTTCTCCCATCCTCGCTGCCACCAGCTTCTTCACTCTCCGCTCCTCATGTTTCACCACTTCTCGCCGCCTCCTCCTTCTCCACGCCATCTCTCCCCCTCTTCTCCATCCACCTTCTCTCCCTTCTCCATTCCTCCTTCTCTCGCCCGTCTTTCTTCCCCCCTCGCTCCTTTCCCCTTCATTCTCCTCCACACCTTCCCCTTCCGCCCTCCTCCTCCGACCAGCGTCCTTCTCCCCTCCTTTCCCCTTCTCGATTCTCCACAGAGGCTTCTCACCCCCTTCGCTCCTTCTCACACCAGCTTATCCCTTCTCCCTGCGCTCCTCCTCTCCACCAGTTCTCCCTCCTCCTTCTCCGTGCCAGATTTATCCCTTCTCTCCATCCCCCCCCCACTCCCTTCTCCCTCCCCTCTTCCTCCTCCACCAGCTCCTTCTCCCCCTCCTCTCTCCTCCACCACCTTTCTGACCTTCCCCTTCTACCTCACCAGCTTCTTCCCTTCTCCCTTCCTCTTTCTCTACAGCTTTTCCCCTCCTCCCCACCAGCTTCTCCTGTCTCCTCCCCTCTAACCAGCCGCCTTCTCGCCTCCTTTCCTCTCTCTCCACACTTCTCCCCCTCCATCCTAACTCTAGCCAGCTTCTCCCCTTCTCCCTTTCCTCATCCTCCACCAGCTTCTCCCCCTCCTCCTCCTCACCAGCTTTCTTCACTTCCACAGCTTCTCTCGCTTCCTCCCTCTCTATCAGCTTTCCCTCCTCCTTCATCCACCACCTTCTCCTCATCTCCCTTCTCATCTCAAGCTCTCACCTCCTCCTCTTCTCACGGCAGCTTCTCTCTCTCCTTCTCCACCACTTCATCGCCTTCTCCCCTTCCTCATTCCCACCCAGCTTCTCCCCCTCCTCTCTCCACTCAGCTTCTCGCTTTCTTCCCCTCCTCCTCCACCAAGCTCCCTTCTCCCTCCTCGCGTCTCCGACAGCTCCCCTCGCCCCCCTTCTCGCCTTCCTCTTCTCACCAGTTCTCGCCCGGTCCTCCTTCTCGCACAGCTTCTCCCTCCTCATTCTTCACTAGCTTGCTCCCATACTCCCACCTACTAATACTACTCTAAACTTCCTCCTCCCTCCCCCTCCCCCTCCCTACACTGCTCCTTCGCTACCCTGCACTGATCTATTATATTATAGAGATCAGTGCTACCCTGTACCAGAACTTGGTATGTTACACAAACCTTCAAGTGAACACAACCTATCGTAACACAAAGACGAGCTGTCATTGGTCGGGTCGGCATGCATGCGGGGGCGGGGCGGGGCCGGGGCGGTCCTATCTCAGCTATTTCGCACTCGTCAGATATTTCGCGCGACACCGGCAGTACCCAGGAAGACATAGACCCTGGCAGCTAAAGTACCAGGGCCAGGAGGTAGGGGGCAGTTTGCCCCTCAACTCTAGAGAAAAATAGAATAAAATTCTGATAAATTTAGATATAACCTTAAAATAAGTGTAAATCCTCATAGTAGTCGTCCATGGAATTGGTCCACCCTCACCTCAACACACTGTGCACGGGGACTAGGACGTGCACCCCTCCCACAGACTAACGAATACTTGTGCCTCTCCCTGTCCTGCAATAGGCATGGCTAAATCACGATGTATTGCCCACATAGTAGGGCTCTAATGCGCAAACAATCCAACAGAGGAATTAATAATGAAAGTGTCATTGACACTGTAGCTCACCACAAAAAAGGACACAAATGAGTGAGTGAGAAGAAGTCAGTTTTAATTGAGCAACCATCGACGTACATTATAGAAACGAAGAGTATATATATGGGAGAACTCCCATTATATACGCTTGATAATTATGTGTAATTTTTTATGTGAAAATATATGTTTGAGATGTGAAAGTCTGAGATGTGGGCGAGTGATGGCGTTACACCTAAATGATCGCCATTTAACGTTTTTATAATATTCAGATTTAGGCACTGCCTAAAAGCGGAGCTCCCGATGTGTAACGTGTAAGATTGAGAGGATACGCTTATTCCACGTAGATGCTATATACCACGTGACAATGGTGTTTCCCTGCCCATAACACAACTTTTGTCAAATGTTAATTGGTTGCATGGAAGTGTTTATTTCGTATGAGTTTTTCTATGCGGTAGCACACGGTTGCCATCTGTATATCTCAATAATAATTTATAAACCAAAATGAATCACAATATATACCCGCTTGTTTCTTAGCGATGGCGTTCGAAATAAATAGGTTATGTTGCGTTCCGACATGTTTTGTAAAACTTTACTCTAATATAGACGTTTGATCGGCAGGGTGGAGAGGAAATACCAATTTTGCATTAAAGATATTGTCAATAAAATCTTGTAAAACGAACCAGACGAGTGTGACACCACAGACTGTTATATCTGCGTGTCTATATAATATGCTATATAATTCCCAAAACCTACCTAATTTGCATAATTTCTTTTAAAATATCAAAACCCCTAGCCCTTATTCATTCACATACCAAAAATGAGCAAAATCCGTTGGACCTGAACTGACTAATGGCAATTCCCATTTTTGCCAAAAAATTGCCGTGGCTCGAAAGTACGTCGACTGGCGTGCTCCAAAATAGGACGTTCAAACCTCTCCCATAGCAGTAACAACTATAGATGTACGTTACAGTATAACAACAGTAATAACGGTTCTTGAGTTATCGTTAACCGTAGCCAAATGTTGACGGAAGGACGGACGGACGGACGGACGTACGACGGACGACGACCCATGACGATGTCAAGGTGAGCTAAAAACGAGTTGTGGATTTGTAGTAAAATTGTGGCGCACGCGACGCAAAACTTTCCCTAAAAAAACATCAATCAGAAATGCTAAACGCAATAATTACAAGGTGCGATCTTGGTCTGTTCACACAATCAGTACGGGTCTGTAAAGGATTTGGCTTCAAATCGGCCAGCTATCCACCGGTCATCCATATGTGTTTTATAATTGAATACACTAGTATCTGAGATTTTTTGTGAAAAGTGACCGTGAGATAAGACGTAGTACTTGTCCTTTAATTTTGAATTAAAATAGAACTTTAAATAAAACTAGAACAAACATAAAAACATATAATCAATTAGTGATTATAAAGTCATCTTATTTCATATAAATTGTCGTACATATACTTCTGCATAATTGACTCATGCATGTGTTAAAAATTAAGCAGGTGTTAATAAAAAGTCATTTTAAATTATTATCAAAAACAATTAATAAATCCAGAATCGATCTAACAACATCATACGAATAGCATCTCGAATTCACAACGCATCATTTTATACAAAATTCTTGTAATAATTATTACATAACAATAATATTTACTGAATAATAGAAATAAATTATGTTCGTTAATGTAATGTGATTATTTTATAAAAATTTTACACAACCGATTAAAAAGGCATTTCGCATATGGCATGCGCCATCTCTTGACGTTAAGCTTGCGATAGAAATTATATCTCGTTGTTAATAACAGCTATTCACTCTAGAAGGTATTAATATTATACACGAGGGTTTTAACTGAATATAATCAACATAGTAATCGACAATGATCGTAAGCAACATTTGCCTACGAGCACAGTAACGCCTCCATATACCACCGACCTCATTTACTGCCTGAAACGTATTCGGAAAGATTTACACTGGCGCTCATGGAAACAATATACTATGTCACCGTATCCATACGCCACTTTGTGTGCGTCAACATGCCAGTTTCTAGAAGAGAAGTTGAAATGAGTTCCGACTGCTAGCCGTAGCTCTCTTCGTAGAGTGAACTGCCTAAATCATATATACATTCCTATCGCATTACATGCCATAGCCTGTCTACCACCACTCGTACCAATCAAATTTAAAGGAATTAAAAAAATTGTTTAAATCATGTAATGTTTACAACACAAACGGCGATAATCGGCGGGTTTTCACGATGAGTAACGAGGTTCGTGTATGGGGGGATCAATGCACATCCGTGAATGTCAACTAACATTAACGAGTGACGCCGCTACATTGTAAGTATAACACGTGCAGAAATCTACCACGATAATCACAGGTCTCGCACACAACCTATTCGTTGTTCGGTGTTCAGCATAAACCTACAAAATCAACAACCTGATATTGCATTCACGCGTGGAAGCAAGACGACACACGTCTCCCAACTAGTTCTATTCATATAAAAAAAGGCACTTGCCTCAACGTTGGCAAGAGTTTGTTATTTTACAAATTCAATGTACAATATTACAAATCTAACGCGAAGCCTGCCTATTTTACAACAACACTCCCTTCTACTCTTGAAATTACCGTGACCTTCGTCTACTTATACAGATTACCTGCTACTTGCACACATACTCCAGTAAGTTCCCATCAAGTTCACGTACCACTACTATTAATTTAAGTTGATGTGGCTAAGGCAATCTCTGTGGTTAAACTCATGAGAAAACTATACATCATGAAAAAAGGCCAAGGTGCAATCAATGGAGTAATTAGTGTGACAAGAGACATGGAGCAGTGGTCACGGTGGGTCAATCTGCGCACTTGTGCAAAGAACGCAACTGCACAATTTACATTTGTATTATAAAATCTCAGCTTTTTACAAATTAATATATTTCCATCCTGTTATATATACAGGTTTGAAAGTTTACACTAGGCTAGTCATCTGACTACTGCGTCTACAAAGACACAATCATGCATCAGCACTATGTCGCCTAAATTGACTGCTGGTGCCACCTAGTGGCAGAGCACCTTTATGCCTGTTCTCTCCACTGCGCATTCTGCAGTCCGCAATCCTGCAGACTCCCACACACACCTCTACACGTCAGCTTTCACTGGCGATAAGCTCACGTATATATCATACATTGTGAGATTCCCACATATTTACATAACATAAGTGGCAAGCTACCAGCTAACGTTAGCCACGATGACATTTGTAGTAAAGTCTGTACAACTACACCCAATTACGCACGGTTTTGGCAAGTCCAAGATTACAAGTGGCCCGTAATAGTTAACACAGGGCAGGCTCACAACCATTTCTCAGAAAAATGCCAGCACACGTGTATACACCCTACAACTGGCAAGAGAAGGCAAGATAAGGGCAAGATTTGGAAAGCATTGTTAATATCCTCTCACAATGCTGGGTTGGTTAGAGCCGTCTGTAAATCATGTCAGCGGGAAAGGTAAATGTTTAATTTTGCTGCCACTAGAGCGCAGCACGGGTTACATGTGCGTCTGCTTGCTGCGGCCTCCCCGGGGCTTTATGCTCTCGGATATCTGCCACATTGTCTCCTCGTCGAGATAGTCGCTGAAGCCGTTGAAGAATGCCAGGATTCGCTCGTTCTTCTTGATGGGATAATTACTAAAACGATTAACGAATTTGATGAATGATTACTGAACTGATGACATGATTAACATGAGTTACTAACATGCAGACATGGCTGGTCGAAGGGCATTCCCTGTTTGCACGTAACCAAACCAACCTGGTAAGAATCATACTGAATGAATTCCCCCCCCCCCAACAGTCTTTGACCCACGCAGGAAAAAAAACTAAATTGTTATCGCTATAGTTAGTATCACTACAAAACAACTTTCCAATGTGGATTTTTCACGTGTTTTTTCCCGCCCATGCACCCATCACCTTGATGCAGAAAATTTCACTCTTACCACATCCGAAACTTGCGCATATTGTCCAAAATGTTGAACTGCTGCCATCGCTTGGCAAAGTTGATTTTTCCATCAGGCAGTAGATCGCTGTTGCCTATATGTACAAACGTGAGATCCTGTAGAATCAGACCTCTGTAAGAAAACAAAAAAAATTCAAACTTTAGTCTGCTTCATACCAGCACAGCATTCCATTGGCATACAGCTAATTCGGCAATGATGGTAGATAGTACCATAACAACAGGTGTCACCTACCATGGCCACTATGGCAACAGCTACGTTACCTACCATGATCACCATAGCAACAGCTACATAACCTACCATGATCACCATAGCAACAGCTACATTACCTACCATGATCACCATAGCAACAGCTACTATGATCACCATGGTGATGCTTACGTATAAATCAATGACTTTGAGCACGACAATGATATGATAAAATCTGAAAGATTATGATGTCGACGAATTCAACGGGACCTTTGAAGCTACGGACATGCGACGAAGATAGTTAGCACTATGTGAAACGTGCTGAAGTTGCATTGTTGCGCATGCAAACACATCTTAATACGATGTAAATGCTGTAATGATTACAGCGTTGCCCACGACTCACATGTAAGGTATGCAAGGAGGTTCCGTCTCAGCCAGCGCCAGGCGATATGCGCGGAATGACGCCGAGCTATCTATCAGCTCACAATACTCCTTGAGGGTCTGAAACACAGATGAACCATAGAAACAACTGAGCAATTGATCGACACATCACTACGTAACCCAGCACTATCTGTATTTCTTCGTCCCCGCCGTCACACTTCTACTCTTGTATTAGTTTGATCGGAAAGGAACCGGATAGGAGTAGAGGAGGTATTAGCGTACCTCCGTGATCTGCTTCACCCAGTCCAGACGACGGATCGGGGCAGAGTCCAGCGCTGAGAGAAGCGCCAGGTACGAGTTGAAGTTATTCAACCGCCTCAAATGCTGCATCATAAAAGTACACTAAATTAATATCACTGCCACTAAAGCCCGGGTCACAACAGATCGTACGAAATTTTGTCGTGGTAGACCCATAAAATATTTGTCGTGGCCAGATCTTGCAACATGCCCGAAATGTATTTCGAGTGGTCGCAATGGCTACGACACATTAAAGATGGTTTGGCAATGGGAACGCAACAGAAAAAAAATATATGTCGTGGTTATGTCGTGGGTGTGTCGCAAGTCAGTCGTGCGACAGTCGTGAGTTGTCGGGCATTGTCGGGGGGGCTGTTTTTCACGTGAACAGGTCGTGTTTCACTCGTGGGATGCGCGTGCTACAGTCGTGCGACTGTCGCACAACAGTCGTGGGTCACTCGGGTCACTCGTGGGACGCTCGCGCGTCCGTCTCCCGACTATATAACGAAGTATTATCGCACGACAGTCGCAAGACTGTCGTAGGACAGACTCACGACAACCAGAAGTCATAGATGCCACAAAAAATCGTGGAACAAAAAAGGTGCATGTTCAATTTTGCCTCACAACGGCAAGTCGATGCCACGATGCTCAAAATTTCGTAGGACTGTCTTGCGACGACCCCGATGACAGAGATGCCAACACATATTTGAAGCGATCTGTAGTTTCTGGCCATCAAATTAGTAGTTCGAGGGGTTCGGGGGGGGGGAGGGATTATTAATTTTACACACACACACACACGTTCTAAATTGTAGTACATACGCTGCCACGCACATAAAACATTGTATTACAGCTAGCGCAAACATGGTTCATACAAAACTGGAATTTTTTCCAAGGACTTTTCAAGGACATTTTATCGGAAATTCAAGGACATTTTATCAGACATTTTATCGGAATTCATACACAGAACAAAACGTACCTGGATTAATTTAATAACCCCAATCTTAATCACTGCATGTCACCTCTAAAACTTACCTGGATCACATTAATAAACCCTTCTAAACACTGTCACTTCTACAACATACTGACTGATTTTACTGACTTACTGTAATTTGTGATCATCATTTAACTGTCTATCGTGTCTATAGCTTTTTAAGCTCATTTAACGCAATTTTTATTGAGGTTTGCACATTATTGATGGTACAAAATTTATTTTTATTACAGGCAAGGATTCTTTCTAAAAATTCAAGGACATTTTCATGAAATTCAAGCATTTTTCAAGCCCAAAATCAACATTTACTAAATTCAAGTACTTTTCAAGGACTCCCCTCAAATCCAAGGACTTTTCAAGGACTGTGCGAACCATGTGCCAAATAGTGGAGTGTCTGCCTGTACGAGCCAGGAGGATCGATTGTTTATACGCGAAGTCTCTTGCGGCTGGGGTCCAGGGCCCGCGTAAGAGCCCTGGAAGCTCAGGGGGTTTGAGAAAGCGGCCCGCGAGGCACGTGTGTATGGCTGTGCACATCCATCGACGCTGCGTACGTGCCTGCTGGCAGGGGTGGCATTGATTGAAGTACGGGGGAGGGGCACGATTGTTTCAGCGTGGTACTAATCACTACTAAAATGTAGAGGGTTGGCATTGCTGGACTATGAGAGAGCGACAGCAAAACTCTTTCGGGGAATTGACGAAAAAGCTACAATCGGGAATGACACACGAGTGTACTGGCAGGGAAAAATTCAAAAATATACGCGTGAATTTCATTAGGATTTTCCATGGATTACCGTTCTATAATCCTACGGGTCGGGTCGTTGGTCCTACGGGTCTACGTAGGCACGCCCGCAGGCACACCCGCACACACGCACGCAGGCACGCACGCGCGCAGGCACACGCGCAAGCACGCGCGAAGGCACGCGCGCAGGCACGCACGCACGCGCACACATGCATGCGCGTAGGCACACACGCACGCAAGCACGCCCGCAGGTACACCGGCACACACAGGCACGCACGCACGCACGCACGCGCGCAGGCACACACGCAAGCACGCCCGCAGGCACACCGGCACGCACACACGCACGCGCGCAGGCACACACGCAAGCACGCGCACAGGCACACACGTATATACGCGCAGGCGGCGGCGCGCGCTTGATTGAATGCAATACAGTACAGTACACACATGCATGCTTAAATGGTAAACACTTGACAGTCACATCGTACCATGAATTCAACCGTGCCGTGGAACCGGCTGCCGCTAGCGGCAGAGGCCTAGGCATCGCAGCGCAGCAACGCCGAACGAGGGCGGCAAGGCGCGGGACCGACCTGGACAATCGATTTCCAGGGCGACTTTTTCTATTGGGGCCGCCCCCGATATCATGTTTTCGGGGGCTCTTTTTGGCATTTCGGGGGCGAAATCGCCTGCCGCCCCGTGTATTTTTTCCCCTGCGTATTATAGACTGACGAACCAAAAATAATTTTTTTTTTCCGATCACAGTGAAATTCGTAGTTTGATACAAACTGGTCATAGTGGTGCAAAGGAATAGAAATTCGTATAAAATACGGATAAATCGTAGTGGTTGGCATCTCTGCGATGACCCACGATTTGCCCAAATTTTCTGTCGTGTCGTGGCACAAATGCGGCGTTGGCTCGTTGTGACCGAGGCTTAACATGAAAAAGGTTCGGTTATTTTGACCGCGATATACAACGGCATGTAATTAGGCATGCACAGTTGGCATGGTTAATTGGATACATGGACAAATATCTATGTGATGAAATCCGTTTAGTTCATGTGTATGTCGACAAAATACAGAATGTTATAGTGCCGAAACCTATAGTGCAGAAACATCCCACCTTCATGATTTTGATGAAGCGCACCAGGTGGCGCTCCCTGTCACGTGCGTCGTCCTGTTCCAGTATCCTGGACCTTGCCCTGAACAAACACAGAAACGTAAACAATTGCGCGTCATCGCTACACTACACGTCAATGTAAACAGTTACACGTCATTGGCAATGTACACAGATCTGCATTACAAACAGCGACTGTGCACATTGTGTACACAGGAGACACAGCTCTGCCACTAACAGCACGTTTATAACATATAAACATAATATTTATAACATTTATAACATAATAGCAGGCAGATGACTGAAAGAAATATCAATGAAAGACCTACCAGTACGACATCTTATTAAAGTGTTCGGTGAACAGCGTCAGATTTGGACTTAGCTCCTCTGATTGCTCTTTTGCCCACAGCAGCATCTCTGCAATCTGTAACATCCAAAAATAAAGAAATGAATGATCATGAATGCAGCACATACTTAGCAGTGGACGTGTGTGAAGCAATGTTATAAAATGGTAACAAAAATAATTGATGCAGGTCTCAGGACCACAGCGACTACAACTCAATACTGACACTGTAATTCCAATGAATTTCCATGTTCACCATTCTTCAAATGCCTCAAAAATCTACCGACATATCTCAGAAGGTTCAGCAGACCCTGAACAAAACTGCACATGCCTTCGATCGAATCTATGGCATTGCACATAGCAATGTGCGAGTTACTCCATAACTCATGTTCGTGCAAGATAATTGCAATGGTTTTGAGCACTGGACAACTTTCAATTTAATTTTTTATACTAGCCAACGCATTGATTTATCCACCACACAGCCTACCTCCATCTTCTGGAACAGACTGGCATCCAACATCGTCATCTGTTCGGCTATGTGTTCAGGTTTGTAGTCTAGCAGGGTCACCGGTCTACAACAGTCAAGAGAACACATTCTTTCATCTCGCAGAACACAACATTCACAATTTTTAAACCGCAGAGGGAAACAGGAGAGGAAGCCGCTACAATCGTCCTGTCTGCTTGAGCAAGATAATCACTCCCCGCACCCCTTAGATACTGTTGCTACAATAGTCAAGCTAGATCAGTGTATGCGTGTTTTTACTTGTGCACGCCAAACTGTTAACTTTGCGGCACAGGTTGCTTGAGCACTGGGGCCGGTTTCACGAAGCGTACTTAACTTAAGTATAATTAAATCACTAATCATACTTAACTTCCCGTAATTATGATTAGTTAATCATACTCAAAAATCTGTTTCACAAAGCAATTTAAGTACATATTTAACTAATCACATAATTAGCCGACTTCAACATGAATAGACTGGTACTCGCTCCCCTCTCGGCTTAGTCACTCGATGGGAATCGAGTAATCAAGGTGGGAGCGAGTACCAGTCTAAAACAAATTACACGGTATTCAATATGGCGGACCAACACGCCAAAAATATCTTCAAGTTCGGTACATGAAAAGGAATTAATTTGTAACTATAATGATTGAAGTAGTTCAGCAAATCTTAGATAATTTAAATTTCCTTGGGAAAAAATTGAAGTAAAATTTCCAATTGGAAAATCTGCAGCGTACTTAATATACTAGTACTACCTACTTCTAAGTTCTAGTACTAGCAACTAATTATGATTAGTGGATTTAATCATGCTCCTGAGTAGAATTAAATATTGTGATTAACTTAATCATGATTAAAGTTAATTACGCTTCGTGAAACAGTCACTTTAATTTAAGTACGAGAAGTTAATCATGATTAGTGATTTAATCACGATTCAATACTTAAGTACGCTTCGTGAAACCGGCCCCTGGTCGCTACACTATATAATTCATTGGGCCAGACCTACATTTGCACAGCCTTTCTCCTTATTCCATAAGCATATATTAAAGATATAGTTGTCATAATTTCAAAATGTTACTAACACCCAGCCACGAGAAAACTACATGCCTATGCTAGGTCTCCCAGGCAGCTTGCTTAAGCTAGGAGGTTACCGATAAGGTTGATTGAGTTTACCGGGAAGAAACTGCGATGGACGGCAACAGCAGCATGTGATGGTTGCTAGACTCTCTCTTCGTCTCACACTTCTCCAGGATGCGGGAGCGAAGCACCTTGCCTAGCAACAGCTGCCCGTCGCTAAGCAACTCAAACACCAGGTCCGTAAGAATTTTCACCAGGCTGTCGTCAACATCCGTCACGCTGAGAACAAGAGAACACGCAGTCAGTTACCATGGGAATGCGAAAAAACTTTCGTCGAGGATTGCTCAATTTTAAGAAATTTGTGTATAATGAGAAGAAACACGTCGTGCATTATCGACTGGAGTACAACACTCTATAATGCAAATAATCGAAGATAAGGTGGCTCAAGGAGTTCAATGTAACAGGAGGGGATGTGAGACAGATGGGGGATGTAGCAGGTACAATTTACTATATATCCAAGTAGCTTTTTAATGGTGAATTTATGAGCATTGACCTGGCCTCTATCGACTATCTAGTTCGTCGTGGCAGAGACTTCTTTATTTGCACTTTGCCTTGTCTTTCGCCTCATTCTTTAATACCAGGCCACAAATATTTATGCACCTATGCTAGATGTCCCAGGCACACACATACTGGATAGTGGATTATACTCATTAAATGGTTATACTTTCCAAAGCACACACTTGATGTTTACATGATTACTAGCTTACAGGAATTAACAAGACTGACGCATATTTTGAATAATTTACTATACACATGGCGACATAACCTCTGGCCTAACTAGATGCCAATAAGATGAACACATAAAAGGCTACGTCCCGTGCTTTGATAATTCAACATTGATATCTGCTTTCTGAAATTTAATGAACATGAACACAAAAGGTGCTTGATATATCGGGAACAATGAGCTCATTCTGCCAACGCTAGTGCATAAGCTTCATTTCATGAAATTAAATTGAAGAGATAAGGATTGATTAAAAGGAAGCGCTAGTAATACTGTACACACCACAATTATATTAAAGTAGCATTTATAAAAGATGTGGGGTAACATACACAGGAGCACGTAATATACAGATTCACGTAGGTCAGTAACAAAGAGAATATTGCTAGTATTACTAGCATGCACAGAAAGCCAACTATCATTCTTTCTTTCTTTCTTTCTTTCTCTCTCTCTCTCTTTCTCTATCTTTCTCTCTCTCTCTCTGAGTCTCTCTCACTCTCACTCACTCTCTCTCTCTCTCTCTCTCTCTCTCTCTCTCTCTCTCTCTCTCTCTCGGGGAATCGCGCTGGGAGAAGGCCCTCGATCTCGGACTGGGCTGTATCCTGTTGTGGATGAAGGAGGGCGGGAGGAGGGTCAGACGTGAGGGGAGGCCACCGTTGACGGCCTATTGGCTGTGCTCGCCCCTGTTCGCGCGAGAGCAACCAGAAGCGGTAAGCGTTCGTCTCCTTATTTCAGCGTGAGCAGTCCAACGCTGCGCAGAATGAACGCGACTGTTCCTACAAGGACAGCATTGGGCCATTTTTTTCGCGCGATGACCCTGAGGCAATATATAAACCCCAAAAAGAACACGAGTATCTCTCGTGTCGTCTCGACGGCTTCGTGCGAAAGATAACGAAACTCGATTGCTGACTTTCTCTCTCTGCTCGGCGCTCTGTTTGCCGAGGATTTACCGTACTAACCCAAGGCGGCGGTTGCTAGACGATCGTATTCGTACGTCATGGTACACGACTCTCGATAGAACAAGTTCGCATCGCGACACCGAACTGCGGCGTCAGTGTCGCTGCGCCGACACCTGAGGAAGAGATCATCGCACGCATGCGCCCTTCTCTCTACTTCGTACATGTCGTCGTGGATGAGCTATGGTGAGAGAGAAGAGAGAGCGGAGAGAAAGCGAGAGTCGAGAGAGTGCAGAGAGAGAGAGAAGGCAAGCAGAGAGGGAGATGAGCTGATGAGAGACGAAAGAGAGAGAGAGAAGGTACAGAGACGCAGAGTGAGAGAGGGTAAAGGAGAGGAGAGATCGATGAGCCGAGAGAGGAGAGAGAGAGAGAGAGAAAGAGTGTGCCGATGAGAGAAAGAAGAGAGAGAGAAGGACAAAGAGAGAGAGAGAGGAGGCGAGAGAAGAAAGAGAGCAGGATGAGCAGAGAAGGGAGAGAGTCGAGAAAGGAGAGAAAGAGAGAGATGAGAGATGAGAGGAGAGAGAGAGAAGGACAGAGAGAGGAGAGAAGGGACAATAGAGAGGGAGAGGGTGAGAGAGAGAACGAGAGAGAGAGAGAAGGAACCAAAGAGAGGGAGAGTAGTGAGAGGAAAGAAGAGAGCGAGACAGCGTCAGAAAGAGTGTCGAAGTGAGAGAGAGAGAGAAAGAAGAGAGAGAGAGGACATGACGGAGGAGAGGTACAGAGGGAGCGTCGGAGAAGGGGAAGGAGAGAGAACAGGTGAGTTTGAGATGCGACGAGTGAGGAGCGAGAAGAGAGAATGAGAGTGAGAGAGAAAGAAGAAGAGAGGAGAGGAGAGAGAGAGAGAGAGGAGAGAGCAAAGGAGCAGTGAGAGAAATGGAAGAGGGGATGCGGGAGAAAGGGGAAGTAGAGAGGCATACAGGAGGTTGCCAGATGGAGAGCTGAGGAGGTGAGAGAGAGTAGAGAGAGAGAGAGGAGAGTAGAGAGAGTAGAGACGAGGAGAGAGAGAGAGAGAGAGAGAGAGAGAGAGAGAGAGAGAAGAAGAGATGAGTGAGAGGTG